TATATATAGTAGGCAGGGAGCTTCCTCTTTGATCCCTAATGTCTTTTTTTCAGACCACAGTGTCTAGTCCTCACTGGACCTCCAAATCAGCGACCTGCACTGGTGGATTTTGTTGGCTCATTCACAAAACATATAAGTCTTATGATCTGTGGCGATATTATCATGGTGAGACATCCACTCAGCTTTTTCTACAAGAAAACAAAATAAATTATTAGCATTCTTGTGGTAAAATAGCCACACCAAACACTTTTTAGAGTTATCCTTTGTTGTAATTGGATATGTGAGTTCCTGAGTTCCTTTTCCAGGAGCCTGAGAGGCAGACACGACCACAAGATGCTACAGATCAGCTAGTTAAATGGATGAACAAGAGGAAAGTGCGTTCGTTTTATACTCCATTTACAGCTGAGAGCCTCAGAACTGGAGCTCGATACTTAATGCAGGTATCTAGTTAATATTGTTGTGGTGTAATGTGAAAGTTACCAACAAATTATTAATATTACTATTAGCATGTTTCTGCCATTAGAACTAGTTTGTATACTTACCTGTACCTGGCTTTTATGCTTTTTGTTCAAAGGCCTCTGGTCTTGGCAAGCTGAAGCCCAACACTCTGGTCCTTGGCTTCAAGTCAAACTGGAGGGAGAGTTCACCTGAAAGCATTGAAGATTACATTAACACCATATAGTAAGATGGTCCTTTAATGGTGCATTTAATAGATATGAAAAAATCATGTATTTTCTTGTGGATTTTTAATTAGTATTGCTATTCTATTTATTTTATATTATGTGTGTATTTTTACTGTCTTTGTAAGGCAGTGTAAAATGTAGTATTTATAAAATAGCCTAAAGAATAGTTGCAATAGAACAAAGTCTTCTCAACTTACTCATCTTCTCTTGCTTTTCTTCAGTGATACATTTGACGCCAACTTCTGTTTGTGTATCTTGAGGATGATGGATGGGCTGGACATCTCTGACCAGTTTGATTGTGAAGGTCTGATGAGTATAAATAAGTAGAACATTCTCTAAGTGCTTAACAGCAACATGATACATTTGTGGCAGTGGTTGACAACATATTTTTCTTTTCTTTTTTTTTTAGTAAACCAGGGCTTTGAGCTTGATGAATCTGCTGAAAATTATGACCATCAGTCTCCAGACAGGGAATCGGGTAAGAGCTACTTGTGTGCATAGGTACTAGGTATTAGATTACTGTACCAAGTCACGTTAAATTTCAAGTCAGAATCTGTAAATCATAACTACTGTGATTGCAACTAAAGTACGGGAAGGGATTTTTCTTAGAACTAAAAAGGATATCGGATTTAAATAAGATTTCCACTCTGTAATTTCAAAACTGACCCTAATAAAGTGAGTGGTCTATTTATAATTACATTTCTTAAAGTTCAAGATTAAAGTTTTAAATTGATTTAATTTGACTAAAGTACCTCTAATGGATTGTTCCCTTCCTAAATTAATATGCACTGCAATGGTGCTTAGGATAATATATGAGATGATGAGGACAGTGAACAAGAAATCATTATTGCACTGGCACACCTTAGATTGCATTATAACTTTTTAATTATTAAGTCAGTAATCACTGCCCACACATAACACACACTTTCTCTTGTGTTTGCAGCTGATGACGTGTCCGACAACAGCAACAGTGATCAAATCAAAACAGTGTTTCAGAACACCCAGGGGAAAAAGTCTATCGATGTCTACTGGATAGCAGATGATGGAGGTGAGCCCACAGAAGTGCTTTTCTTTCTTTTTTCCCCCTGTCCTGCCCGGCAGTGCAGCAATAAATAAACAAACAAACAACGAGGAGTCTCTTCAGTTTATTCTTCTAATAAATAAACAAAAAAATAAATTAATTTGAGTTGGCCTGGTTTTCTTAGCTGCTGTCATGCTCTTCTTCTATTTTCAGGACTGACTTTACTGGTACCTTACCTGATCACCAGGAGAAAGCATTGGCGTAACTGTAAGATCAGGGTTTTCATCGTCGGAGATGAACAAAACATGGACGAAGGCCGTAATGAGTAGGTTTACTCTGTTTCGCCTGGGGGAAAGTGTTGGCTTTTGCATTGGCAAAATTTGTGGTTATCAAGATGAATTCAGAATTACTCTTTTTATGTAATTATACATGTATATTGTATATTGAGGTAGGATCAAATGAGTTTACCTTTTGTCTGTTTGTACCAACCCTTTCTTTGTCTCATTATTGTTTAAAGTGTATTTTGTTGTTATTTTAGTCATGTTCAAAGTAAATCAATCATTCAGTGACAAAAAAATAAAAAATAAAAAAAAATACTCTTTTCCTCTAAGAACTGAAAATGTTCATTTTGAAGATTTTACAACAGACAACAAATTTGGAATTATTTATTTATTTATTGTTTTTTCAAAAAAAAAAAAAAATTAAATGTAGGTTTTCGTGCAGTTTATATGTCTATGTTTGGAGTAATTCTTTCAGACCCTTTGGTGGACATACTAGGAAAGGGTGCTTTATGATTTCTGGAACTTGAGAACTTGTGGACTGTTGTGTGTTTCAGAATGATTGCTCTGCTGAAGCGCTTTCGTCTACATTTCAGTGACGTTATTGTCATGACAGACAGTGAGAAGCGCCCTCAAGACAAGAAGTATGTCGGAAAAAAGTTGCAATTACCATCACAAGCCACACCTATGTGAATGTGTTTTTTTTTCTTCATAGCAGTTGTGTTTTGCTTTGCAGCATGACTAGGTTTGTGGACAGTGTCGCCCCCTTCAGGCTGCATGATGAACAGCAGACAGGCGTCACAGTTCAGGAGCTAAGACAGAGAGAGCCATGGAAAATATCTGATAAAGAGTTTGAGGCCTTCAAACAAAAGGTGTGTGTGTGTGTGTGTGTGTGTGTGTGTGTGTGTGTGTGTGTGTGTGTGTGTGTGTGTGTGTGAGTGAGTGTATCATTGACTTCCAAAAGGTGCAGAGCAAAACATTTTAAATGTATCTATGCCTTATGATTGTGTAATATCCCCACATTATGTGACACTAAGTCAGTTTCTTACTTGTATTTCCTTTATTTACAGTCTGAGAGAAAAGTAAGGCTGAATGAAATTATCCGCAGGAATTCACAACATACTGCCCTTGTGCTTGTGTGAGTACACGGTTTATATCGCAATTCATATTTAATAGAAATCAAAGTTAGTTAGGATCTCCCATTTCCCTCATAGTCCCCATATTTATATGTACACAGTTTACTAAAATCATCATGCGTTAGGATTTAACTAATAATGCACTGAAAATATAAATCTATTACTATCCTGCTACCCATCTTGTAGCAGACTTTGTTCTTGTTTTACTGTCCCTGCTTATGTAATTGTTATTTAATGTTTTTTTTCTTCCCCATGTAGGAGTCTTCCTGTGCCACACAGTGACTGCCCCAGTGCTCTTTACATGGCCTGGCTGGATACTCTCACTTGTGGCCTTCATTGCCCTGCAGTGCTCATACGAGGAAACCAGCAAAATGTCCTTACTTTCTACTGCCAGTAAATTGTATTTTATTGTGAGTCAGTCATGTAGGACTATTTTTATGAGTCACAAAACTAAAAAATTCAAGACTTAGAAGTGAACAATAATTAAAAAAAAAACAAAAAAAAAAAAAAAACAAAAAACAAGACTGAGAGAGTGCCATATTTGCCAAATTAGGGTTTAACAAATCTGGTGAATAATAAGGAGACAAATCTTAAAATTAAGATTTTAGGAGACACATGTTACATGAATGATTCTGAGAAGGTCATTGTAAGTACTCTCCCCTAATACAAGTGAATATCACCGTATCTCAACCCAAGCAAGAACATTTTGGAAGCCACCACTTTTATCAAACTGCTAAAGAAGGTGACATCTTTTGGAAAAATTATGTCCATCCTATCAGGAGAGTCCCAAAGGCTTGGAACATCAATGTGAATTAAAGGTCTTCTGGTAACAAAGAAATGAATCCAAGATCTTGATAATGTTTAACTGAACATATATTTGAAACAAAACTGTCTTGTTTTAGCAAGCTAGTTACTAAGTCATTTGTGAAAAATGTAGTATGAAGTATAAAACAACTGCTGACAATTTTAGTGAGTAACAAGAGAAAGTAGCATCCAGTGCAGATGTAAATTGAACAGAGAAGAATATTAGACTTAGTGGACTCTTTTACAGTCCACCACTGATGGGTAGGGAAACATTTTGCTCTTTATGGTTAAACTTGTACTACATAACCACCAACTTTGTTGTTAACACACGATAATGTAACTATGTTTGAAAACTGAGACACAAATTGTTGATTTGAAAGTGATAATTGTAAGTAAATTTAAATTAGTAATACATTTAGACTTTACATTGTATTCACTATATTTGTCAATATCTTTTACATTTATATTTGTTTGCTTAGTCTGTGATGTGTTTTGTAGAATATTAAATTATGTATAAACTCTTCTAAGATGAGTTATTCTGTTGACATTTTCCAAAGGTAAAATTTTAAAACCTCTGAGGTGTACTATTTAAATGCTGACAAGCAACAGCAGGAATATAATACTGTAAAAGATTAATATTCTGTTATAAAATCTGCTGTTCTTCAAATCGCTACTTGACATTTTCCCAAAAAGCAAGTCACCCTCTAATTTTACACCCATTGTAATACTGAATATGAGTAACAATAAAAATAGGCTGCAGTAAGTACAGTTAACCTTTTACATTACTACT